TTTTCCTGACCAAGTGAAAGATTTCCAAGTGAGAGTTTGCATTGTCTGCTTATTATCCTCCAGAGAAAGGCATGATAGACGGGAAGAGGCACTTCTGCCAAGCAGATGAAAATCATGGCTGATCTTTTATGAAGCGACAGCTGCAGGAAACCCAATAGCTCGGGGAGAATGTCGGGGAAGGCTTTTTCTTTTCACACTCAGACTGATTGAAGGTTTGAAAAGATGGATTTCAATTTGACTAAATTACTGAAGTTTAGATTTGACATTAATTTAACTTGAACTACACAACTTGAGTCTTTTACCATGTGCACATTTCATTGTTTTTCAAGAAGCCAGTCGTAGCTTTACTATATGTGGAAAAACAATAGAGAACAGCAGCTTTGGGGTAGAGGAAATCCCAGATGTTTCTGTCTGAAAAACAGCTTGACCTTATAACCACACGCAGACCAGAGGAGAGATCAGTTCGCTGTATGAATATTATAGCTACACCACTGAGAGGTCTCATAAGTCATCTTAGCTTTTGGCCTCTACCGTATGGGAAAACAGTAGTGTAACCATAGAGCAGCAGAAAGTGGAAATAATGTTGGAAAAAAATCCTATTTAATGTACAGAGTAAACTTTAAGCAACTGAACCTATGAGATCTCGTGTGTTTATGTGTGAAAAGTTTATGAAATACTTGGTGTATGCTTAACATGCCTCATATTTGGAACTAGACCCCCTAGTCACATGGATCACATTTATATGCGTTGCATTTTCATAGCCAATATTTCTGCTTTTATTGTTGGTAATTTGACTTGAATGTGTTCAATAACATGTGAGTAACTCGTCTGGTTTCCTGCTGCACTGAGAGCTCTCATATCTCCAAAAACAAGGTGCCAAAAAAGTACAAGCAAAGCACTTTAGACAGTTATTAATCTCTAAAATAATGCAAAGCTACAGAAATGAAAAGCGCAATATGTTTAATGATCAATTACCAAAGCATTATGCATTATTGGTTTGCATAGAGCAAAACATAATCATGGGATAAAACAGTGGGAAATGGTTAGTGTTTACTCACAGATAATAAGATAGCGTCACAAATGGTGCCATAGATAATATGCTGAGACGCATTGTAATGTCCAGTTGGATCAACAGGATGTTGCAGGATGCTGGTGGAAAACTGCTAATTAGTGCTTAAAGCAATAAAGTAATGGACTGACCCTTGCTCACAGAGGTCAGCAAGAATGGAGTGTATAGAGTTACTAGAGAGATTAACTTCTCTTCCTTTCCTGTGATACTCTGTACTTACTGCATATTGTTAAGCACTTAGCCCACATAAGGAAGAACACATCTCTGCGGGGCTGGAAGTATCAGATTCAGGTTGCAACCAACTTTCACATCCTTCCAGGATTCAGCCTAGGATGTGGGACTTTGAGACAGTGGAGGAGCCTCATGTAACAATGGTATTAAAGTAGTATGTGTTCTGGCTTCTCTGTTGTCATAGTGCTCACAGTGAATCCTGACATGAAGGGGTCTGAATGAGCTGAAAGAAGAAGGCTCCATCTAATAAGGGTTGGAGGGGGCGAAGCAAGAGAGTTTGAAAAGGGTAAAGTCTTGGGTCAGGGGTTGGAGGTTGGCAGCATGAGGCGGAGGACAATAGGATCGGTGGGAGTGATGCAAAGCAAGAGGTCCCAGCCGCCGGGGGAGACACAGAGGAGGGTAGGAACTGTGCACAGGAGGCAACCCCAGAATTAGCTGTAGAGTCTCGTCTGCTGTCTTCGTGTTTCTTTATGTCTCTATTGTGTCCATGTGTGCGCACTCATGTGCGTGTGTTCATATGCGTATGCTCTATGCAACAAGTAGGAATACGAAAGTCTCCAGCCACGGTGCTATTTGCATCACAGCAGCTGAAGTGTGAGAACGTTTGTGTTGTCAGGTCCTCACCAGTTTAAGAGGGACATATGGACCGTGAAACATCAAAAGGGAAAATCTATTGCTGCTTCTAGAAACTCCTTACAAGATGGGCTTGATTTTCCTGACAAATATCCTTTGAAGTAATACTCTAAATTTTGTGTGCATCAGCATTTTCCATTAATCTCAAAAGATATGCCTTTGTCAGTTTAGTCATGCATCTGATCGTCAATAACTAAAATAACTGTAGCTGCTTGTTCATTTTCAGGAAAAATAATTTCATTTATTTTAATGTAATTCCTATAATTCAATTGTACTACTTGTAATTATATTATATTACATTTTACAAATAAAATGATATTTGCCAATGTCTGGCTAATATTTATGTCTTGCATGTTTTGTGTACTGACTAAATGTTCAGAGATGAAACAGGTTTTTTTTTATTATAACGGGGATTTCATTATTTCCTGGTACAAAGACACATGCAGATGACAGCAAATACAGAATAAACAAACAGAAGAAATATCATCAGTATCATCAGTCATCAGCAGAATTGTTCCAGAATTTCACTACCATATTAATTTCCTTATAATTAAACTTAACTGCTGTCTAGTCACTTAAGTAACAAAGAAAGCATCTTAGTAGTTTTTGTTCTAGGCTAAATATAAACATGCTTACAGTGATAGGCATTGTATTTAAAGGATTAACACCCCTAAGAGAAGTCCTGTGGGATTTCTTTTTAATCTTAGCGCAGTTTAATGGACCTTTCAACTAGCTTGGTTCGATAAGATTAGTAGTATACACCTTTGGAGCCATAACTGCATTTAGTCTATAAGGAGAATCTTAAAGAAGCTGCTGCTCAAGCCTAAGTGATGAGCTCAGTGATTTTTGGTTGTGGTTTTCTGCCCTAGCATACTGCCATTTTCAGCAAATGGCAGCAAAAGATTGCCTGGAAGACTTGATTAGGAGTAGCTAACAACTAAACATGTAGACATTTTTACTTAAGGTTTGGCAGAAATCAAAATTAGTTTGAAAAGTAGATCAAATATTGTGATTAGAATCATTATTTTATTTTTTACTGGGGCATCTTGAACTACTACTACCAACTGCTCTTGGTCCTCAACTAACTTTTTCTATTTGTTTTATTTTGTCTTGATTTCTATGGTAATTTCCTCTTGTAATTTTTAGTTTCTGAATAGTTCAGATTTTTGCGTATATAAAGCACTTCGAATTAGAGCCTGACAGATTTATTTATTTGCTAATCTGTTAATACCGGCATTTAGAGTAGCCAATAAATTTACATAAAAAAAAAAGAAGTAAAGACGGACTGGGAAAAACACCCTTTAACCATGTTATAATGCTAATGCTAATGCTAACATCAATTTATGTCATTGAGATTACATTGAGTTGAATTTAACTATTAAAATGCTTATTTCTTAAATCACAACAGCTTGTTTCACCTCCTCCCGAGGAGTCAGGGAATGAGAGGCATGCACGAAACAAAATGTTACTTTAGTGTCAAAGCAAATTGCTTAATGGTGTTGTTATTGTATCATTTGAAAACATGGAAAACCTCAACAGCTTTTTAAAACTTTTTTGTCATATAAAAATGTTCTGGGGAACTCTTCGTGTTGTCATTACTCCCTGGAATATCCGTCTAGGAAACTAGATAATGGAGGTTGGAGTTGAGACTGGACATACCTCTTGTTGGTTGACTGGGTTCATAACTTGATTGAGGCAGAACACAAAGATAGCAAAGCCTCTTCCAGACCACAGATATCATTAAAAGTTTTAGTGCACGCTGAAAGAAGAACAAACAGTAATGCCAGCACATATCGTTAAAATATGATGTGTATGTGTTTCTGTATCATTTTATCATTGGTTTAAGGTTCCTGGCACTGATTTACTGTTTTGACTCCAGACTGAAATTATAAAATTCTTAAGGATTTGATACTGTATGGAAATTGTTGTCTGTGCGGCCAAGCCAAGATAACGGTAGCCAAAGTACTGTACGCTAGAAAGCCTGGATAATACAAAGAATCTGTGTCTTTTACTCTACCTCCAACACTTAGGCCAAAACCACACAGGCTACGGAGGTGCCAGAGAGTCAGGGTTGTGTAGTCACTTTTAGAGGAAAAACATGGCTGCCAGGCTTCTCTGAGTGAGTGCTGCTCCATATCCAGCCCTGACACGATAGTAACACAAACATGCAATTAGAGAAGTGCTGAGTCAAACACCAATGGACATTGTTTGCTTGCAATAAATACAGAGAGAAAAAAATAAATCTGGAATCTGTACGATGGCATTTATACCAAGATATTAAGTATGTCTCTGACAGTGGTATAAATTGAATGGCATGGTTGAGGTTTTGCTACCGTGCTGCACAAAATATGAACAGCTGTATTCTTATGGTGGAATTCCTGCGTGAGGAACAATGCATTGGTCCATGGGATGGTATTTTTAAACCACCAATGAATGCAGGGATTGGTTTTAAGACCTTATTTTTGAGGTTGGGTAATGGTTGGTTACAGAAACGAAGTCTTGTGTTCATAAGGTCAACAAATTAAGGCTCAACTTCAACAACATCTGGTAAGAATATCATCTTAAACGCTGTTTAAATGAGATTGCAGAGTATCTTTGTTTATCAGTCATTGTGTTTAAAGGAACCTATGGATTGGTGCCATTTCTGACATTTAAAAACCCCAGGATTTGGATTATTATCAAAGGATTAATTGATACAAAGCCCTAGACACAAGTTGTCTTTGGATCTTACTAATTACTACAGACATTTGGAATGACAGAAAAAATCCAAGACCAAGATGTTATTTAAGAATTGCACCATTAAAGAATTTGATAACGTTCAAATTTGAACCTGCTCAAACACTGAATTTATTAGGGGGGGAAAAATTGATTTTCATTTGTTCAAAAAAGACAAGAGGAAGTAAAAACTCTGTGGTTTCCCTGTTTTGTGGAGAGCATGTCTTTCTATAATGAGTTTTGGTTAAAATCATTTTTTCCACTGAGGTTTTTTTTTTTTTTTTTTTTTCTAGAAGTAGTAGTAAAACAACTCAGAGCCTTATATAGATTGAATTGTCTCATGTAATCATAATATGGCAGGAGCAGATGTACTTTTAGATACAAAACTTTGGATTTTCAAATAAATCATATGTTTGATTGTTCAGTAAATGTCAGAGAATTTGTATGGCTTTTGTTTCTCCGTAGACTCCCAGAGCAGATGAAAATGGGTCAGTAAACAAATGAATGGATCTGCATAATGGGTTTGCTGTGCCATGCTTCTGTACCAATCAATAACCTGGATTCATGCCATACATAAAGGCAAACATACAAAGCAGATTGAGATACGAAGAGGGACTGCGGTTAAAACTAGGTCACTAATGCCACTAGAAAAGAGAAACTCACTGACTACAACAAATGACCAAAACAAAGTTCACAAGAATCTCAAGCTTAAAGATGTTGATTGTTGAAGTTTTTTCCATGAGCACCACAAAATACCAGCTCGCCATTTGGTTTTGCTTTTCTTCACCTTTACAACAGATGTTAACCTTCACAGTTAGTTATTTCTGACATAGTTGATGCCACATGCCCATTTGGTTTAAACTGTCTTCCTCTGTTCTCGTGTGGTGAGCCTGCTTTCTCAGGCCTTTGATGGGTGTAAGTAGTGCTTGAGCCTGGGCACAGACCTGGTTCCATGAGAACTCCTTCCATAGTGTGAGCCAAACAGGGGTGCAGGTCTTCATGGGTGACTGAACACTGGCGAGCATTCACGATCCGAGTCTCACACCATGAAAGGTTGACCCACAATGAAGCCTCCCACATTTGTATGAGCTTCATCATCATTCAGATTGTGTCCTCAAGTAGGGGCGTGGCGCTGTGTCCACACTGAATCTGAGCTTGCAGCACTCAGGCTTTCACATGATTATTCCCACAGCCTGTTAGTATTTTAGGTAAAGCTGAGTGCAGCCTTTCTTCTGGGCTTTATTCATTTGGTTCAGCTCATATACGGAGTTCTACTTTGCATGACATTTTTTTTTTTTAATTTAATTGCTGTAAAAGCACCACCAGTCAACATTCAAAGGATTGACACTATATCGTTTCTGATGATAACTGCAGTATTTAATGTAATACTAATCGTATCTCACTCACTTTGTAATGTCATAATTCCAGTACCGGTATCTGGTGGACAAACTAAATGACCTTATGGCACCTTAACACTGGTCATCGGCCAGTTCTCCCAGCTTCTTTAAGGACATTCAAATGTCTTCTTTGGATGTTGGTTGTCATTTATTCTGTTCTCTGTCAACATTCTGAAAATGCTCCGGTACAAGGAGTGGACTGAAAATGAGTGAAAAAAGTGCAGACATTGTCCAAAGAAAAGCCTTCAGAAGGCCTGAAGAACTATGGCTCAAGACCACTTTTAAAAATTACGACAACGTCTGGCTCCTTGGAAGCAAAATGTAAAAGTATGAGGTGAACCTCAAGACCTTTGCACACCATCTTTGTATTTCAAGCCTCTATTTTAACATCTAGGCTCCATTTCGGAGCCACAAGTGACCAAATTTGATAAGTTATCAGCTAAGCTTGGTTAGCATGCTTCCTTAGATTTCACATGTACTGTCTGTTTTGGTATCCTCCTATTGAAGAGGCCATGTCCCCAATAGTACATAACTTTAAGCTATAATTAAATTTAAATGAGTGAGTACAGTTTTCAAAAAGATGGAATTTAGATATGTTCATTTCTGCTGGAGTTTTTAGCACTTTGCTTCATTTTTTTCATCCTGCTTTAGATAAAAGAAACAAAAAAACAAACAAACATTACAAAAGACATATGTCAGTAAATACTATTTATACTACTTCTTTTTTTTGCCCGATAGCACTTTTTCACCCAAGTAATGGATGCATTTGCTGTGATAACTATGATCTTTATGCCAAAACAAAAGTTTATTCACAGTCAGAGTTTTTAATGAAAGGCACATGTTTTTGGTACTAAAATCGAGAATTTATTAAAATAAGTCCTAAAGCACATTTTGACCTGTTCTGATCACATGTTTTAAATTTCCTTTCACACAAATGATATAAACATGTTGTTGTCCAAACACTCTTAAAGGTTTGCAGATGGATCACTGGATTGATCTTGACTTTTTAATTTTTTCTCAGTAACATGAAGCATCCAGTGTCGACCACTCCAGTACATTTAGTCCTGCACATAATCAGGCTCACTGGATGCTTTACTTGAGCTCCTGTTATACCTAATGTGAATCACAAGTGTGGAATCCACTGAATCAGCTGTTAACGCACATATGCGGAGATCAAACACTTCAAACATAAGGAACATGTTGGTTCTTCTTGCTTTAATGGGGCTGATGGTAAAAACGCTTGAAGATTAGTGCAGCATTTGTTGTTGTGGGATCCCTGCTAAGTTCACTTCCCTGACCCCCGAGGCTCCCCTCCCCTGTTGTTCCCCCTCATCTCTGAGGTCTGGTATCCGTGAGAAGACCCCACTCCAACTCTACTCCACCAGCCCCCCCTTCCTCAGCTGAAAGGCCTTTCTCTCATTAGCATGCCCCTGGGGCTTCTCGGCCTGCTGTTGCCAAACAAACACAGCCAATATCTTCCTCACTGTCTCCTCTGGTCATCTCTCATCATTCATTTTGGCCTGGCCCTGTTATTTTCATGAGTTGTTTCTCATGGTGTCGTCGTCTTGGCTTTAATTTCTCCCTCTTTAAGTTTTTACAGGTCTTTTTTTTCTTTGTGATTTTCTGTTTCTTCAATTTTCACATGCTGCTTCCTCTGTTGTCTCTATCAGCCCAGAGGATGCTCTGCGTCCCCGTGTAGGAAATGTAGACGTGCCTTCCTTTCATGTGTCCTCTTTATGATTTAGAAACCACCAGATTGAGGGAAGAGACCGGTCAGAGGTTGCTAATGTATGCTGCAGGAGCAGAGGGCATATGGTGCAAATCAGAAGATGAAGGGTTTACCCTTGACCACAACACAACCACACAGCATGCACTCTCGCCCTCTCTTGGACTCTGGTCACATGGGAGATAGACAAAGATGACTGTGTGCATATATGCTTTCAGCCTAAGCTATAGTTTTCACCCACAGCTAAAGTAGTGACTTCCACTTTCTTGTTGTCACCAGATTTCCTCCCATTGCTTTTCTTTCTGAGACAGAGATGCCCAAGAGGAGGAGAATGAGGAGTGTGTTCATGGCATGGGCAAAGATTTCTGTGTCATTAGGAGGAAACTTTAATTTAACTGTTGGTTAAGAAACTGTTGATTTATTCAAAGAGAATATATAAAAGTTTTGGTCAAGGAAGGCATGTAGTAAGCTCAAGAAAGTGCTTACCTGACAAGATCTCAAACAAAAGCTGTGATTTACTGTGGAGAGTTGCCTTCACAAGGCAGGACACAATTAAACGATGGAACATAGCAGCAAGGAAAGTGAGAGACGGAGATACAGAAGGCAGAGCCATGCAGGAAGGAAAGAGAACGAGAAACGAGACTGTCAGGGGGAGAAAGGAAGAGAGAATCTGCTGAAAAAAGAAGAAGAAGAAAAAAAAAACATTTTTGCTGGGTAGAAGAAAAACAACCATGGAAACTCAATCAGACGAAAACCAAGACCAGAGGCAGGACAAAAGAGGTACCAATGAGCACTTACAAAGAGCCAGTTCAGTTCTTTTCATTGCTGTGTTTGTTGGGGCTTTAACCTTCTCCAGCATGCTTGGTTTCGTTTCAGCTTTTGCTCTTTGGGGGATTTTTAAATTTTAGACCAACATCCATGCTTCACTGTTTTGTTTGAACCAAAGTTTTCAGTTCATTCGCAAAATTGCCTGTGCATGTCGTATGATCTAATTAGTTTAAATCTGTGGGCTGCTTTCAGCAGACTCCACTCCTGCAGCAGGAGGGACGTTGTGTTGCCGCAGGTCATCATCATGCTAGCGTCACAGGGTGCGTTTGAGTTGTGTTTTCGGGGAGGACTGATGATTAATGAGGCGGATGAGGGGCGAGGACAAAGATAAATGAACCTGACATTAGCAGTGTTACATCAATAGCCTTGAGTAGTTTGTACACTAAAGGGGGAGAGAGAGCGGGTCATTAACTTGCTCATCACCTTCTTGTAGGAATCAACAGGAATCCTTGAATTTTCTGTCGCGCTTTGTGAAATAAGACGAGCAATTTAAAAAAATAAAAAATATAGTCATATGTCTCAGGTTGCTGACAATGTGATGAGGTCAGTAGCTTTGCAAGCAGATTCAAATTATCATGTTTTCTTAGAAACAAGAACTAGCCTTTGCATTTTTTTTTAAAGTATTTTTGGTTGATGCATAGCTTAGCTATTTTAACCCAGTTAAAGAATGAAGAAAAAGAGACTCAAACTGATGACACTACAAATGAAATTATAATCAGATGACAGAGCTTCCCAGAATTCCTTATTTCCCTTCTCCCCACATGTACATAAAAAATGATGAGCCTTTACAGTCAGCACTGCCTGTTAGCGTTAATGAACACATCCTATATGTTTGTAAGTCTCCCCTAGCATGTGCAGTCAGGGGAATTGCAATCAGTCTTTAGGTTTCTCTTCTGAGATAGGCACAGTGAGACCACCTCTAACGAATTTCCATGCTCCCTCATCTCTTGAGAATTACCATTATAGCCATTAGAGCAATTTTAACTATCGCTCCACTCAGCAGAGAGTGTGGAAAAATAAGACTCTTTTTCATAAGTGGTGTTTTGGCAGTTTGCCCCAATGGAGCAACAAACAACAATACTTAGCATTAGCTGTAAACAAACACATCTGTTAGCAATGAGCCTAGACTTTTTTTTTTTTTTTTTTTTTAAATTGAAACTGGATGGTGTTTTTAATGGAGCTGGAAGCCAGCTTGTTGTTCGGGGAACTGGGAAGAAATTGAGGGTTTGCAAACTGTTCACTATAAATTGTGTGTATCCAAGTATGTTTATATCTGTGTGGGGGTTTTGCTTGTATATCATATGCATACTTTTCTATGTGCATATGATTATGCAGTGCTTGTTTATGCTTGTGCTGTGTGTTATTCTTTGTTTGGATAGGTGCAACTGTGTTTGTGTCTGGTATGTACCAAAAAAAAGAAAAGTCTTCCAAAACACCGCTCACATGTGGCCCACATTTCTCTGTTCAGCTAAAGCAGAAAATAGACATTATTCCACATTTACCAAGCATCCCAGCTAAAGATTTTGATTATGGTTATGTTGGCTTGATGACTGTGGCTGAGGGATTGAGGGTGGCAGTGATGCAGCAAGGTCAGCTGAAGGGGTTAGTGATGACTCAGATCTCAGTGGGCAGTGTGTGGTAACTTCATTGGACAGATAAATAAAGGAAAGACTGGTAATGATATTACTCCCTGTATGCCTACTGGTATGTGGTAATTTGATGAAACTAGATTTTGCCCTTTATAATCCCTTAACAAAATTTACAAGTGATCAAATTATTTGTTATCCAACTCCAGAAAAACAAAAACAAACATCCGAAATAAGAAAAAAATATTAAAAAAATAAAGAATCAACCTGAAGGGTAATCTGTGAATCTGCCAGTCCAGTGAGACACCCAAGTTTTCTTTCTCTTCTCATTTATTGTCTCGAGCTACTGCTGGCTATCAAACAAAGGAATGAAATGCTCAAAAAATGAAGTAAAAAACGACCAAGCAAAAAGACAAAATAACAAAACTGACACCTAGTAAATTGTGGTGCTTTTGGACCCCTGGAGGTCTTGGACCCAGAAGCAGTTCCACACTTTACTCTCATTAGCCGTATGTCTCTGTCTGTCTTCGTCTCGGTGTGTTAGAACTTCAGATTCCAGCTTGCTTTGCAACTCATGTTGGTCTTAATAAGCTATCTCATTCACATGCTGACAATCTGAGATACTTTGACAAACAGGATCCTCCTGGAGTGTGAAGAGGCTGCTGTGGCCCATTGTGGCTAAGCTGTGTACAGTGCTTGAGGGGCACACAGGATGGAGCTCAGTGGTGAGCTTGTCCTGGGCCTGCAGCCTGTGGGCCGGAAGAGCAAGGCCGTGGTTCAGTGCTATTCTGAATGGCCCCTGAGAGTCCAGTGTGATGGACAGTCTGGGGCTGCACACACTGGCTCTTTGTATCCAGCCTCTTGGACTCTCGCTTTCTTTTTTCTTTCTTTTCATGTTTTTTTTCTATTTCTCTCACACAATGTCACCCACACAGACACTTTAAAAGAAAAATCACACAAACATCTTTTTCTCCCTGTATCCTCGTGATACAAATGTGTCAAATATAGCTTCTGTTGTAAGGCCAGACTACTACTGCTGTCACAAAGAGATGGACAATAGAGTGAGAGGAAGTGGTTGGATGCCTAACTAGGAGTATTAGTCAGGGAGCAGGAGCATGTGAAAGTCATCAGAGGAAAAGGGTCCAATGTGATTTTCATTTAAAGTCATCCACCCAGAGCCAGTGGGATCCCTTCATTACAAGCTTGTTGTTTAGAGAGTCACCAGCTCCTTCTGTTATCCCCCCGTGGAGGAGGAGGACTTTAGCTAACACAGGGATTTGCAACATCCTGTATTCAATGTAATCCCGCACTGTACTCTCGGATAACAATCTATTTTACAATAAGATACACAGATTACAGAACTCTGTAAAGTTTTGTGTGATTCGTTTGTTGGCCTTTGGACTTCTTTCATGGAGTTAGATGCAATGATCCTCTAAACTGTCCAATAACATTAAACAGGAGTTGTTGCTATGAAGAAGTACTGCTTCTTGCTCCCAGCCAAGAACTATTGTTTGTACAGTTGACCAAAACCTCTGAACACCACAACACGCATCTCCATCATAATCTTGGTTACTAACTAGTGACAGTAAACAAAAGGAAAACAAGTACTTGTTTAACATCTAAAAATAGTGAGACTCTTGTTTACTTTGCCCGACTTAATGGTTGTTACTTCTTGAGAAAGCTCATAATTGATTTTCCAGTATCATTGTTTCCTTAGAGATATTTTAGAAATGCTGTTAACATTAACCACCATGAAATGCCTTCTTAATAGATTAAGTGGTTATGTTTTAAAATGCATTTTACTATATATTTAGCAGCATAAATGTCCTTTCAGCAGACTCAGTTTCAAGCCTTTAACCGAGATATTTTATTTTCCACAGCAGTTCCATATAGTTAGCTCAAAATAAAACAATATGAATTCACATTTCCATAGCACATTTTTCCCCACGCTGCAGGATGAATTAGGTGTATAATAACAAGTGATTACATAAATCTCCAGTGATGACGAACAGGGATGCTTGCTTGCATGCCATTGGCTTGCATTTTTCAGATAAAAGAAATATCACCAACAATATTTCACCACTAAAACCAGCCTGAACCTTTGACAAAAGGCAGGATAGAGCCATGCTTTCCTGTTGTGCATTTAGAGATGCTCTTTTGCATATCTTAGTTTTAAAGAGTGTTTATTTAAGTTACTATTACCTTATCAGGTCAAAGCAGTCTGGCCATTCCCCTCCTCTGACATCGAAAAGACACTTTTGCCAAGAGAACTGCTGCTCATCGGATTTTGTTTTTCCCAAACAATTCTCTGTAAACACTAGAGATGGTTTTGGGAAAACCCAGCAGTTTGGGAAATACTCAGACCAGTCACTAACAATGTGACATTCAAAGCCGTTTAAATCACCTTTGTTCCCCTATTCTGATGCTCAGTTTGAAGTTCCACAGGTCATCTAGACCATGGCCAGATGGTGCTGCCTTGTGATTGACTGATTAGATGTTTGCATCAATGTGCATTGGTATACCTAACAAAGTGGCTGTTGAGTGTATATACATTATTGAACTGATGCTGTGCTACTGCGTCAACAATGCTAACAGGCTGTTATACAGTTTGACCTGGAATGACTATCTCAGGATTCTGTCTAATAAGTAAAGCTTTGACAGAAGCCTTTGTGAATAGAGAAATAGAGCACTATAACAGTCAGACAGAACATAAATGACAACCTAAGTAGTTTAGCTGTGTAAATACCACCCGTGATTAATTGTGTTATTAAGCATAAGCTAAGTGATAGCTTAGACATATCAACATTGTCAGTTCTGTTGGATAGCTGCTTAAGGACAGTGATTAAACAGACTGCATAATGATTAGATTTTCTCTCTTTAATTGCACTTAGTTGGATAAGCAGATTCCTGCCTTGGCCATGTCAGGTTAATATGAACTTTTTGCATATATTAATTTGACTGTAGATTGCCATGATATGCCTATATGATTTTTTGCATTTTATAATTTCAGATTTCCTTATGTGTTTGGACTTTCTTCTCATTTTCAGATGTAGTAAGGCAATTAATAAAACTATTGTACCATGGCATCTGGTGGTATGTTGCCAGATCTTGATCTAATATGGGGAGAAAAAGGTTCACACTATGGCATTTATTACTACTTTTGTCAATTTGTTTCTAGTATTTAGTTGGTTTTGCACTTGGAAACACCTGCATGCCACAGAGCTGTAAACATTACAAAAGAATAGGGTGGTGCATAGTTGTGAATAGAGACTTACGTAGTCTTGATGGGGGCTCGGGAAGTTGATTTTTAGCCAACATTTCCCAGTGTGTCAGAGCTACCTGACAGTACCCTCTCCTTCTTTATTTAAGTGGACTGTATTTACTTTGCAGCTGGGCTCAATATCCTGTCGAGCTTTGTGATCTGACTCCCAGCAACCCACTCTCCCTGCCTGACATTTTCATTACAGAAATGTGGGCTATGGGGGAAGCTAGCGACTCTGCTGTGGGGTATGCTCATTGAGTTGAGGTTAACATGCTGCCATGGCAACTCCTATTCATTCACTGTGGGATAGAAATGTTTTTAATCGCCCTGTACTACACAAACAGTCTGACTGCAAAAGTATTGACCTAGCAGCCATATATCTGTAAATTTCTTTTGTCAAGGAAGGCAAAGCACATGGACACAAATCAGCTTTCAGTGTCCCAATAGACATTTGGTCTCTTACCTCAAGAAAAAGATAAAAAAGGAAATGGACTGGTTCCTATATAACACCTATTTACTCAAGTTGAGCACTCAAAGCGTTTCTTACATTTCTCTCTGATATTCTCACACACGCCAATGGATGCATCGGGGGAAACTCGGGGTTCAGAATCTTGACATATGGACTGGAGAAGCCAGGGATTGCTCCAGTGACCTTTTTTTTTACTGGCAGATGACCTATTCTGCCACCTCATCTACTGCTGCCTTTCTGTTGTTGGATGTTTACAGTTAACAGATACTCACAGACTGGCATAAATCCCTATTCTAATGAATGCACATATAAGAGCTTTCTTATCGTTTGTAAGTATTAGCTTAAATACGAAAGCTAACTGGTGAAAACCAGCCCAAAGAACACTTTGCAGAAAAATGTGACAATTGCAATTCTACTGCAGAAATGAGTACGAGTAGACTGTGTTTTTTGGCTGGGGTCACCATGTGCTAAGCTTTAACATCATTCTGGGTGTGAGGTTATAGCTTTATGCTAGCTTGTTTTTTGTAGATAATTGTAGAGCTGGTGTTGTGTTAGCAGCAGTGGATAGATTTGTCTGCCTGGGCACAATATACATTTTACCATCATGTTTAATGGACATTGTTGTGAAGATAATTAATCATCTAAATGTAGACAGTGTTAATACAGTTTGTACAGAATTGTTGTTTTGGGGACTTTGTGACAGTGCAGTTTGCTTATTGTTATTAACACTGGACACATAGCAACATGGACATGTGTCTGTGGTTACCTGACATATAAATCTAAAATTCCTTCTACATCTGGTTTGATGTCCAGAAAAATTTGACTGGTTAGCTGCTAAATATTTTACTGGTTTCATCAGCAAGTCACTAATCTGGTTAGTTGCTGCTGCTTGATGCCCAATGAGTGATTGGTACTGTAAAAACATTCTTTCTAACAGCGTTAAATGTATTAAATAAAGATGGGAAATCAGGCATAGGCCCAGGTGTGGGATTCAAAACATGAACAGACAGTGACCTGGATGTCCTGTGGCTGTACAACATCCTGTCATACACATGTGGATCTGATTGTAAAAAGGCTGTGGCTTGTTTGCGTTTTTCCACAGACAGTGTGTTGTGATGACTGGGCTCCGTTTCACAAGGCACAAGAGCACATAGGATCAAACAGACTCATCTAGGTCACTTCATTTCCCTCATGTTTAGCTGCCATTGATTTCCTTTAAAGCTTGATACACATGCATCACCCTGACCTGCTGGATAGCCATTAGTGGCCTGTGAGTGAAGTGACGAATTGTCAACTGAAACGTTACTGCAGTGCAGATTTTAAAAAAAAACAACAACAAAAAAACAACCCCTCAGTGGCACCGAGCAAACTGTTCCTTTTCCTCATGTGCTTTGCATTGCAGTTGTTTTTGAAGGAAGTGCATTAACCACAAGAACATGTTTTGAAAGTTGTTTTGAACAGATGTGCTGGGACTGCCTGCACATTTCCTTTTGTAGCAATGACGATGAAACATCGTTATTTAGAAAATTTAAATTGTAATTGATTACAAAATGATTGTGGCAGACCAGTAATAAGTTCAGAGTATGCGCTGCCTCTTGGGTAATGTGCCCTGGGATAGGCTTCATGGATGATTAATGTAATGAATCATCTCATAATTAATTTTTCTTTGATTCGTATTCCACAAGTGAAACACGCTCCCTTTTATGGAAGTGGGGTCTGATGCTGACATTAATTCATTTCATTGCCTTTCAAAGTGAAATGATTTGGAATAAAACATGATGCTGAATAACACCCGCTTTTTTTTTTTTTTTTTTTGCACAGGTTGCTTTGAGTGCTGCATCAAATGTTTAGGCGGCGTGCCCTATGCATCTCTGGTGGCTACGATCCTCTGCTTCTCTGGTGTCGCCCTATTCTGTGGATGTGGCCATGTGGCCCTCACTGGCACTGTGACCATCCTGGAAAACCACTTCTCCAAGGTCACCAGCGATAATGCCATGCTCACTGACATGTAAGTGGCCTCATACTCTGTGTGCTCTAAATAGCTGCATCAAATGTTTGCCAGAGTCGGACAGATGGATTACTTACTTGGCAGTTAGTCTGATTTTTTTTTTTTCTCTTTTAATATTATTTCCCCTTTAATATCAGATGTATTGTACGTCATGCTCACTGGTAAAAGTGTCTCTGCATAAGCATTGCAGTAAACACAAGTCCAAACCATAAGATGGATAGCTCTTTTAATGAGGTTGACTTTATGTAGGCTATTTTTAGATGACGTTGTCTCCCACATTTACCTTATCCATGAGAGCAGTCCTAATATGGACCCTTTTTTTACAATGCAGTCCATTAGTCCTGACAATAAAAGACGAATAACATAAAACAGGACTGCACATATGTTTTGTGTTTGGGTGGATTTAGAGTGCACTGTTTAATTTAAGACGTCCTCAGTCTGTCTCTTGGTAGATGATTTGCAGAGACACGCATCACCTGTTGTCTCCACATTTGGGCTTATTGTCTGTCCACACTGAGAAACTGTCTGTCACAACAATAAAGATGAACCTTCTCCTTATAGAATGCATGCATATGCATTGTATGGAGCTATTTTTAGCTTTTTTTTTTAAAGGCCAGTTTTGGCCAACGGTTTGAAACTTATCCCAGCTTTACTGGCACAAATAAACTCATATGTAATATTTCCTTTAACAGAATACAGCTGATGCAGTATATCATCTACGGCATTGCTTCATTTTTCTTCCTCTATGGGATCATTCTGCTTGCTGAGGGTTTCTATACAACTAGCGCAGTCAAGGAACTGCACAGCGAGTTCAAGACCACCATCTGTGGACGATGCATCAGTGGAATGGTATGTAAATACCACCACACTTTTTTTTTTCTTTTTTTTTTTTTTAAATAGAGCACACTTTAAAAAAGGTTTAATGACACTGTGACATTCCTGTGTCTTTAGTTTGTGTTCCTCACATACATCCTGGGTGTGGCATGGCTCGGTGTGTTTGGCTTCTCTGCTGTGCCCGTCTTCCTCTTCTACAACATGTGGTCTACCTGTGCTGCCATGAAGTCTCCAATGGCCAACTTCACAAACATTGATTCCATCTGCGTGGATGCCCGTCAGTATGGTGAGAGAACAGCACTGTTTTTCTTCATTGAGATACACTCAGTGAATAGCTTCCTGTTAGTATACAGACCAATACCGTATTATACACACCACTGTTACTCCTTATAAGAAAATCAGGTCTGTGTGGGGCCTCATTATCATTAAAAAGGTCCTACAAGGTTCATTTATGCAGTTATTTACAAGAAAAAGGTAAGAGGACAGTACTGATAAAAAATAAGCCAAATTTATTATTTTTGTTTTAGTCTACAAAGTTCAGACTAAGAGACAAATAAATGCATAAAATAATATAGTCTACTTATACATACTCTCAAATGGCACATGATAACTATATAATTTATATATAATTTTAGGTAGGTTACCCCCAGGGTTATAATGTGTTTCCATTATAACGTTAAGTGCACAAGTTGAGCCTAATGACTGCTGTCTTTGCAGTTCTTATGATGGTGAGGAAATCCTCATGTTTAAAGTTGAGCATGTCTCTGAAACACGGAATTGTTATCAGCTTAGTAGTACTGCAGCTCGGCGTTGTGTTTCTTAGGTTTGATCATGATCTGCATGAGACAAGGCTACTATTGGTTGCAGGTGTAAAGGTGCTTTTTAATTTTATGACAACAGGAATTATCCCGTGGAATGCCACACCAGGCAAGGCCTGTGGATCAACGCTAGGTGACATCTGCAACACCAATGAGGTAAGGCGTGCTTGTGCAAACATCACTCATCCCGGAAGTGGCACGCAGAGCAGGGTGACATAGGATTCTGTTTATTGAAGACTAAACACTGTTAACGCTGCCTGTCTTTTTTCAGTTCTACCTGTCTTATCACCTGTACATCGTAGCGTGCGCCGGGGCAGGAGCCACTGTCATCGCTCTGGTAAGCTTCCGTTTGGTCTCTCCATCCTCACATTTTAGTCCATCTTCACATGGTTTGTATTAGCAGGTCATGTGTCCAGTGCTTTTCTTCTCATTCCCATATGGTTAATGTAGCCAAACCAATGATGATAACATAGTCTTTTCCAAAGCTCCAACTTCATTTTGCCGTTTACCCTCAGCTTAGATGGACATGACCCTATTTTGAACAGTTGTTTTTTTGTGCCATGATTAGGATTCTTTTTTAGAAATGACACTTTTACAAAAACTGTTAGAATTCTATAAAATTATACTTCATGATCTTTAACATTTTACTGCTGCAAACTTACTGGCCACTTTACTAACTTGTCACAATATTAGTGACGAGGAGGTCACTGGCATGTACTCTTACCACCTTTTCTGTTCTCTTCCACCAGCTGATCTACATGATGGCTACTACTTATAACTTTGCTGTTTTGAAGTTTAAGAGTCGAGAAGACTGCTGCACTAAGTTTTAAACCGTTTTAGGAACACAGTGCACCATTCAAGGCTGTGCTGAGTAGACACCGTTGCCACTGACAACAGTTGAACTAAAAAAAAAAAACAACAAAATCTGAGAATAGAAAAAAAATCAACATCTCTCCATTAGTAATCACAAGACATGTAAATAGCTGACTGTATACTTCTCTTAGCATTTGGTATCCAGGGATAATGCTCGTCTGAGGACACCTGATGAGAGTTGTCTTCAGAGTGGGATGATGGTGTTTAGTTGACTGGTTTGTTCTGCTTTCCTTTATACTTACTTATTGAAATATGTCACCAGCAGAATTTTTATTTTTTTTTAAATAGAAATGTGCGCAGCTAGAAATCCACAATAGTGTTATTTATATTTGTAATTTGTGAAGGTGGTTTTGGCCTGCACAAACCACATGAGTAAGTTAGATTAAAAAAAAAAGACACACACGCAGTATTAAGAATGCAGTTATTCACCTTCCATTAGCTGGCGAGCTTCAACTCCTGAGACACTTGTAAAACAAGTGTGCAGGTTTTAAAAAAGCTGCCATTCTGAGATCTGATAAATACACTAGACTGCACGTGGCTCATATAGACGTACAACACGTGGGCATCTGATGACGAATATTGAAGGTGTTCTCAGGCTTAATATTTTTTGATTGACAGATTAGCATTTTGGTGTGGATGGATTTTAGTACAAACAATCTGTAAAATGAGCTGTGATGGCGGCAAAAGTGCCTTGTCCTTGTATTTCTTTGGTTTATTTGCTTAGCCTTAAAATCTTTCAGAACCGATGTGTGAAACACGGAAAACCTTCAGTTTTATTAATTTTTTGGGTCATGAGTTAGATTCTAAACTGAACTAAAATGTTTTATTCAATGTGTTATGCTGATGAGTATTACCACAACCAGCTGTGTATTGTAGAATTCAAAGTAACTGCACATATCGAAAGTAGCAGAAATAAAGGGTTAGGCCAGTACCGTGCATATAGATCTGCATGAGGCCCTATTACTCGGATTAATTCCATGTATTTTATAAAAAGAGAAATGATCCTATTTTAGAGTACAGTATTTTTTTTTTCTATGAGAGCTGATCCTGATATTACCCCAGCTACGAAGTTGGCGTTTTGTTTCATACATTTTCCTTTATTCTTTCTCAAAGTGCCATTTAAGAGCCATTTGTTTTTATCTTAACACTGAGCCTGCATGCTTACAGTTTTCAGATACTTTGATCTGTTTATAGTTACTTATACTCCATATTTCATATATTTAAATTTCTCCTAAGTTTTTCAAAGACTGTAGCTTTTACTTTCTTTATAAAATAAACAATCTTTGTTTACAAAAAGAATCCCCACCTGGTCTATTTATTATATATCCTACAGCTCAGATTTGCAAATTTCAGAATCTTGTGCTTTGCACTAACCTAAGCTTTTACAGCTCTGCTCATTTTGCATGTACAGCCTCTCGCTATCTTCCTCCACTCATCACCTCATCTTTTAAGTGTCATTTCTGTAGTATTGTGTGTAGCGAGGTAATAACGCCAAGTATTAGTAATGATTGTAACAGCACTGTTACAATACCCGTAACATTTCTTTTTCCACAGTGTCCTTTTTTTTTTTTGTTTAAAAAAAGCATAACTTTACGTTCGTGTATGTCCGTAATGTACGTACTGTAGCTCTGACTCCTGTAGCTTGCTTTGCATCTTTGACATGCTCACCGGCCATCCACCTCACCCTTCTCTTCCAGATCCACTTCCTCATGATTCTCTCAGCAAACTGGGCCTACCTTAAGGATGCCAGTCATATGCATGCCTACCAAGACATCAAAATGAAGGAAGAGCGGGAGCTGCAGGACATCACCTCACGCTCAAAGGAATGCCTCAATTCCTACACATAAGGATATTTCAAGCTTACAATCCACACGCACACATACATAAGCACACATACTTACAATAACAGACACTGTGGCCAACCACTGTGGGCCCTCTGGACCAAGGCGACTCTCAGCTAAAATAACATGCCAACTGACACTGTGCAGTACTAACCAGGCTCCTAACAGACTAATGCATCAGTGTTGCTTTCTGCACTAATTGTTTCACAACTGCTCTGTGAAGTTTCATTCATGCTAATTTTTATTTTTCATTTTCTGTAGGGAAGAGTGATCTGAGTTCTGATGTTCGTGTGTTTTTATAACCTTTGTTGTTTTTTTGCTGGTGAAGCTTGTGACATTGCACTATTCCTACACAGCACACCAGTGTTTCACAGTCTTGCTCGATCCTTCTTTAGTTTTCAGCTAAGGAAGATGAAACATTTTGGTTTTTGTTCTGTTTTGCAGATGTATTATACAAATGAACAGCCTTACATCCAGTCTGAGTTATGCGTCACACTATACTGACCTTTTTAGGGAAAGTAAACTATTGCACCAGATTCTTTTATAAAATAGTTGGTAATACATGCACTATAAATCTATAATCCTTGATGATTATGAATTTACTTGCATTTCCATCTCAGTTGGTGATTGTCTGAATGCTGTTCATTAGTTATGGATTAGTTATTAGCTGTACAGCTACTTAAGTCATGGCCTACATTACCTCTACCTCAGGTGAGCACTAGAGCCTATGGACAAACAATTCCCATTGCAAGGTGTAAATTAAACCAATTCCAGTTGTAAAAAGATGTCTCAAAGACATAGATAGGTTTGTGTAGCTACACCCCCACACATGCACAACAGTTCAACTGATTCACAGTACTATAGACTTTGGATAATGCTACAAGAAAAACTTACTCTGACCTGTACGTATTCATTTAGGCACATAGGAGGAAAAAACAAAAACATCAGTACTTGCCAATGAAGAGTTGTGATTATCTGCAACATGCACAATATGATCAAAAATGACTTGATTTAACGGAAATCCTATTAATAAGCATAACTATGTCACATGCGTTTGAAGAAGTTCAGTTAAATTTATTACAGGTCACATTTTTTCATTTCTTACCTTTTTTCACAATTTTCTATAATTGTATATTAATGTGCAATTTTCACAATGTTAAAATAACAACTTGTAATCTTTATTAGCTGAGTTACAGGGATAATTCGAGATGTTACTTTGTTGTATAAAGACGACCACTTCTGTGGTGACCTGTGATGTACAGTTATGTATACTGACTTCAGTAGTTGGCAGTGTTTGCCCATTTCCTGTTTTTCTAACAGAATATAAAGCTATGTAGCACATTAGTTAGATCTTTTTTTTAGGTTCTTTTAATCACTTGAGAAGTATACTTTATTGTTTTGTTGCCTGATAGTATGCCTGTATTTTCTATGTATGTCAAGGGCTTCATGATTAACTGATACTTAACTTTTCAAAACTGTCAAGCAACAATTAGCCACAACAACAGTCCTTTAAACAGTTGTATAAAATTATAAATGGTAAATTCAGCCAAAGTATGAATGCCAGTGTTAAACGGTATCTGTTTGATACAGTGGTACAGACCCTACAGTGCTTTATGTAGGACTGGCAATAGGTGTGGTCGAGCGGATAGATGACAGATGTACATGAAGGTAATGTACGCCACATCTTGTCTTTGTATGTTGTGTTTCCTGTTAAATGAACCAAAAAAGTAAATACAAGGCTATCTATCAATCACCAGGAGGACAGTAATCAGTTAAAAGAAAACAAACAAAAACCATCCTGTCTGACTGGAAACCCCTTTATGAAACAACTTCACCGGCCTGTTGACTGTTTTTATGAAAATAAATAAAAATGTTTTTTTAAAAACGTTCTTCCAATTGTGATGCTTTTGTTCTTTGCATGATAGAATTGATTGGTATACAGATTTAAAAAATGCATTTATTTGAATTTCATACAAAAAAAGAAAACATGCAGGACTGATAAGCAAATTCTTGAAATATCTGTTTTTATACACTTCAGATTATGATGCCACAAACTGATGGTCAGCTCACCAAAAATCATCATCTTCATCCTTGTGTGAATATGCTGCAATGCTGAGACAAAATTGAGTTCATTAGTGAAAGCCTCAAGGGACAGAGTTAAAAAAAAAAAAGTAAAACAGTTTAAAATTAACAACATGAATCCAGAACAACAACAAAAAAACCCTCAAGTATAAAGTACGACCATGATAAACCACAAAAGCAATTAAATGTTATTGAAAGAGGCTTATGTATGTATTAAAGTCCTGCACAGCTTTTGAATTAGAAAGCGGAAATAGTTTGTCTAGCCAAGTCGACGGTTTTAATTTACCTGTCTTCTTTATCCTCAGACAAACTCTTGGCCTCTGGGCTTGCATATTCTGCCTCTTCTCTTCGAGAGCTCTGTAGAAAAAAAACAATCCCAAAGAACTCCAGTCTGCATCGAGTCTCCTGTTTCATTTGTACAGAAGCCTCAGACAAACATGGATGCAACTCACCTGTGCATGTTGCTTCTCTCTTGCTTCCAAGACCATCTTCATGTATTTGTCCAGTGGATTTTCACTTTTAGACTCATTATATTTCTCTCCACTGATTTCTTCATCTACTCCTTTCTTAACCCCGGTTTCTTCTTCTTCTTCTTCCTGTTTTGGATTTTCCACCTCTTGCAAAAGCTGATTAGAATGGGATGTTATCACATTAAACATTCATTTAAGGTCGCCTTTATGAGAAGTTTAGATAGTTTAGCTTATAAAGAGGATTTCTGCAGGAAGTGGGTCTAAGATAATCATTACCATCTCTTTCTCTAGTCGCTCAAGTTCTTGCAGCTCTCTCTCTCTGGCTTCTTCCTGCTCCCTTTGTCTTTTTTCTTCTCTTTCTTTCCGCTCTCTTTCCCACCTTTGTTCTTCATCTTCTTCCTTTTCAGATTCAACCAAACTTTGTGGGAGTTCTAGAAATAACATGAGTCATCCTTTGTCAATTTGATCCTTTGGGTTTAAAAAGCAGTTTACTGAAAATTGGCGGCAAAATGAGCCAACTGATTTTTACAGTTTGACTTATGATGCACAGTAGAAAAAAGGCTTGTATTGTCATTGGAAGTCAAGAAAGATTATGAATCGTTGATGAGAGAACTAAGACTTACCCGTTTGGCCCTGTGAGTCTATTAGGTCTTTTGGGAGGTCTTGTGGGTGGGGGCCAGCAGGGGCCTCCTCGGAGAGAGGAACAGCAGTGTCCAGGAGAAGCTCTGGAATGTGGCCGGGCTCTGGAGGGAGACATGCACAAAGAGATCTTTTATGCCCCACCATAATGCAACAGGGCCAGAGGACCAGCACAGAATACATAATCAGCGGTCCTTCATCTTCACCATTGTGCAGGGCCACTGAAAGGCCAGTCACACACTCATTAAAAAACAGCCATCCAAAAATTCTAGGCCTCCATACTGGATACATTACACATTTTGTTACATTAGTGATTAAACACTATCAACATATAGTTAATCATTTTCTAGAAATATATTCTAGTGACAGATGGAGCAAACAGAAATTAATCACACAGCACACTTTTCAGCACTCGCATCATGCACAGCAGTCATGGAATTAAAATAAACAGCACATAAACTATGAGTGTTTATCCTGGGATACAGTGAAGATTTTCCAGTATAAGAGGAGAGCTATACTTCTACAATAGATCCCCAGGGAACTTGTCATCTCCACTGAATGTCTTGTAGCTAGTCAAACAGCATGAAGCACTACTATAAAAGAACTTTATGTTCTAACAGTTTAAAAGCTCCCCTTTGATCACAATTTATGGCCCAGAACCTCTTCCTCAACAGCAATGACGCGACCAGACTGCTGAAGCTCAAAGTCGGTTGTATGAGTCACGTACACTGCAAACATTGGCTTCAGAAATACATGACCACATTCTGTTTGATTATGCTTTGAACAATAAGGGGAAAATACTAAACAAAAATCAACTAACAACAATGAACAACACTGAGTACCTGATAATCCTCCAGTGAGATCTTCAAGGCTTATCTTCTCAGGCTGTGGGGAAGACTCTGAGCTGGAGAAGACTTGCTGTAGCTTTGGTGGACTGAAGGACACAGTGGCAACATAGGCATTGGTATTCACTGTCTCATCATAAAATGTATGCGAAACACTGCACTGTCCTTGAAAGTGATGCCAGATGATACCTGGAATGGTCGCGTGCTGTGCTCCTGAGCTGAGGACTGCGAGGTGGACTGAGCTCGGAGGACAAGTCCTCTGAGGTCACCACCTCATTGTGGAGGGCAGGAGAGAGCTGCCTGTCAGACGACAGCTGTGGAAGCAGGACTGCAGACACGACTGGCCCTAACAGAAGGAAGGACTTAATATTAAAAAAACACATCTGAGGTAGAAACGTGCTCAGAGACTGATGTGTAAAGATCTGGACAGACTGATCTGAATTTTCAAATAATTTCCATATAAAATATACAGTTTACATGCATGTGTGCAGCATATAAGCACTGAGAACAAAAACCATTATTCAGTTTTTTAACATATTACCTTCTGTAAGCTCTCTTTGAAGATTATTCTTGAAGGAAGATTGTGTTGTAGGGGATGGGTGCTTGGATAGAGCCAAGCTTTCATCTGGAGCGTTTCCATTTTTTAGGAACAAAGGCTCGGTCAGCGAATAGAGACTGTGGTCAACAAAACATGTGGCCTGTGGCTGGTTATGATCTTCTGAGAAGGTAACTCTTGATTGTGCAGATGGTAAAGTCTTTCTGGTGCCATTGGAGGGGGATTGGATAGACTGAGGAGACAGTGGTCTGTGTGAGATCTTTGGTTTGTGGGCTAAGTGACTGTGTGGACGGAGAGGGTCGTGTTTTCTAAGAGGAGAGTCAGGGAAATGAGAAGGATGTGGTTGTTGTGGGGAAAGAGGTCTTGGGGGAAGCATGTGTGAGATGGTGGAGCGCACTGCCCTCTGCTGGTAGTTCCTGTAAGCTTCCTCTAAAGTCTCAGCCTCCCTCTGCAGCTCCTTGATCCGAGTCTTAGCTTCAGCTACCAACTCCAAATCAGAATCTGGTACATCACTCCAAGGCGATTTGCTTCCTCCCAGATTGCCATCTATTTCACAAACATCATAACCCACCCTGGCCCTCAGCAGAGTTCTGTCCACATAGATGTCAGGAGGAACCAGCTTGTCAGCGCCGAGCTCTAGTACAGAGCGATCAACAAGAGATGGTTTGGGATTACGCAGCACTTCATTTTCAAGAGCTGCCGGGATCACATGAGTCGCAGAAAAGGAAGAGAAAGGGGAAAGGCAAACACGATGAATGTTGAGTACTACTACACAATACAATCCACCATGAAAAATCAGAAAAAACCCCCAAAGCTAATTAGAAATAATTACATGGGGCTACATCAAAAATAGGCAGTTAATACTGTAGTGTTGATTTCTTTCTTGCTTTTACTCAGTTTTCTATAAGACTATCAAAAATACAAATAAAAGGATGAATCAATATGTGCAATGTGTAACTGTGTACAGAACTGTATGAGCTAGAAAAGAAAGCAAGCCTGCTTGTGAAAAGCAAAAATAAAGTCAACTGTACTTAAAGCAAGATCATCTGATGTGACTAGCCACATTAACAGGGATGCCACATCAAAGTGTACCTTGCTGAGTTTGGTGAAGCTGCATTTTAATGTCCTCAACATGGTTAGCCATCCACTGGGATTTCTCTCTACACTCTATCAGCTGAGCTTTGAACTGGGCACATTGCTCCATCTGCAGAAAAAAAATGGACACAAAAGTGAACGACATGTATATTTTTTGATAACCAGAGATTTGAGGGCATACTGCGAACACAAATTCTTCAAGGTGAAGAAAAATTGTTTCCCACAGCAAGGAGCTGTGATGTAGCTGACCTCACTCTGGAGCTGTGCCTGCAGCACCTGTTTCTGGTTGTCAAATTCTTCCGCATCCAATCTGCGAGCACTCTGTAGCCTCTGAAGCTCCAACTGCAAGGATAGTTGCTCTTTGGATGGTTTGCCCAAATCTGAGACAGGATATATACGACTTAAAACATAAAATAAAAGTACAGCTCATTTCCCCCAATGCATTTGTCTTCAGTGGGAAAACTGTCAGATGAAAAAGCATCTGGTTTTGTATGGAGCAGTTCTTGACCAGCATGACATTACAGCACATGGGGCCCATTATCATGTCACTGCCTTTTGTTAGCATTGAGGAGAGAGGCCCACTGCTCCTTTGCCCCATCTTTAGACAAGATGAATACTGTAAGCCTCAGAGAGAGGTAAGATTTTCTTTGCCATGGGTAAAAGGACCTCTGTCTCTGCTCCCATTCACTCATCCCCCTTTCCTCATTGGCTGTCTGCAAAGCTACAAACAAGACACAGAGGCCCTACTTTGGCAGGCAAGACACATTCAAGAAGACTCAGCTCAGCCAGAGGCAGTGGGATAAGACTACCAAAAATGCTTCACAGTACACTGCACCTTACACAGTTCACAATGAGCCTATACTCATGCACTCTGAATGCAACACAGGAACTTCAAGAACCTCGCTTATGGCAAAGACTGCAAATATTCAGACTTACCAAAACTAGGATTGCATTTTAGACACAATAAATCTGGTTATATAGTCCCAGGCTATAAGATAATCAGATGTGCATTATTATAAACAGAGTATGCCTGATTGTGTTTTTCCTGTTTTTAACTGAATAGGGACACTCTCCTGGTAGACACTCGAGAGCAACCGCCACTCTCTACCTGCATGAAGAAGCCGTTTCTCCTCTTGGGCCTCCTCCAGCTGTTTCTTTAGCAGCTGCAGCTGCCCCTGCAGCTCTGCTTTCTCTTTTGTTAAGCGGGGGTAGTCACTCATGCTCTCCATTCTTTCCCTTAACAGCTCCTTCTGTTGAGTCAGCAGAGAAATCTGCTGCTGTGCTGTGTCTAACTTGATCTGGAAAAACAAGCCCGCGAGGGATATTAAAAGCATGGGAACCGAATCGCACTGGATGGCATGCATTTATCACAGAATTAAACTGAATGCTAATATAATTATTTATCATTTTGCCTCACGTCCACTGAAAAGGGTGAAGTTAACAAGGATGGATGGATTTGGGTCTTTACCTGCAGCCGCTTCAGCTCTGAGCACGTTTTACTGTGGTCCTCCAATTTGGCATTAATTGCAGCTGACTCCTTTTGGATACGGACAGTTTCCACTGAAAAATACAAAGATGTGAAAGCAGACAAAGCACAGGCAAAAGAAAATTGGTCATAAATCCTTCACTGACTGACATACTTGCCTTTGTTTCTGTTCTCACTTTCTGTGAGCTTTTCTGTTCTCTTGATGTAGTCCTCCTTTAGTTCAAGCTGATACCTGATTTAAAGACAAGATGAGACATTTAAAAGCAGGACTAAAACTAAACAGTACAAGACAACGTGACTTGTTGTTCTTTCTACATTACACAAAGCAAATACTCGACCTAGTGATCAACTACAGATTTGCAAAAGCAATGTTGTCCTCTGTCAAATACATGGTAAAGTCCTCTTGTGTATGTTACTCTATTAATTGCTGTTGCTGCTGATAGCTCTATTCTTTTGATAAAAAGAAAATCACTTAAGTTAAATAAAGGTTGGGACATTAATTAACTCAGTGTCATTGGAGATATATTTACTGCTTTATTTAGCAGGAAAATATTTGAAATTCACCAACAGGATTACTGTATTGATTTTTATGTCACAGATAATGATGATAATGTATACTGTATAGTATACACACAGTACTGACAGCAAGTACCTGGAAAGTTCATTCTTCAGCTTCTGGTCATACGTGTCCTCCATGGTTTTCACAGCCAGTTCTCTCCTCCTCAGCAGCTCTTCAGCTGTCTTGATCTTCTCCTCATGGATTTGACAAGTCCTATTACCATACAAAGACAACAGCAATAACTATGAACCTGTGACCACAATGGAAGAGTGCAGCATCATTTCACTCAGATAAATAGTCATAAAAAATTCTTACTTTTCGAAGGCTTCTCTTCTCATCCTCAGTTCATTTTCTCTGCTACGTAGTGTTTCAATTTCCTTCAGCACTGACTGTCTCTCAATGTATAAGTTCTTTTCTTCAATCTATAGAGAAGCGAAGTGGAAATAATAGATAATTAGTCTATCTTAAATTTAAGGAGAAATAATTTGAATGTAAACTGTAATGCTCAGAACCACCCATAATCAAATTGCAGTGGGATATAGAAGCCTGATGACAAATCATACATACAGCTCAGGAAATGAGCAGCAAGGTTTGAGGACTGAGAACAATTTAAAAAGATCAAGTGATAGCCAGTAAAAGAAACTTAGGTAAGAAGGCCAGAATCCTCAAACTGACACCAGAAATTTAAGGTGATATTATTAGTAAAATATTCACCTGAGTGTCAGACCTTTGAAATCTTACATTACATGTTCAAGGTTTATATGAGAAAAAGAGCACCTCATTGTAGCAGCCATTTACCTCTTGCTGTTTTTGCAATCGATCAATAGCATTTTTCTCTCGCTCCATCAGGGCCTTTGTCTTCATTTCATAAGTCCTCTCCAGCTCCTGCTTCAGCCTTTCAAATTCTTTATGAAATTTGGATTTTTCTTCCATCCTCACTTTGGCAATTTCAACTTCTTTAAAATGTTCTATCTACAAAAGAAGATGAAGAAAAAAAAGACAACATTGAGGCGACCCAACCTGGAGGAAAAACTATGTGACCAAATAAACCATGTTTGTTACGAGTGTGTACCTTTAAGTTCATTTCTGTTTCCATCTGCACTTCAATGTCTTTTCTATACGCAGACAGTTTTGACTGTAATGGAAACACTTTGTCCTCATTGTACCCCAAACCCTCGTATTCCCGATCTATTGTTTTCATCTTCTCTACTGTGAATGGAAAGACAGGGAGAACACATTAAAACTCTTTGTTGGAGGGCATGAATATAAAAAGGCCAGTCACCGTCAGACATCAGTTCATACCAAGAGACTCTCCATAACTTGATAAACTTGTCTGAGTGTCGGCATCGTGGCACAGGTTCCGAGTATAATGATCTGTTAGCTGTGTTAGAAGGCTGATCAGGAACCCTGGTAAATAAAGACATAATAAATCACTGGAGAGACTCTGGAACAAAAGCAGTTTTATTAGAAGTAGAAGGAACAGGACACTGTACATACCCCTATCATGGTTTTCTTTATTTGAAGACTGTAAGAAAATAATAATGGCGCTGTTATTAGTAATTACACTATGTCTTAATACTTATATCAAAAAGATGTTCGAGGTTCAAAATAATTATAATTACCAATGACTTGTAAAGGTTTGATTCAGGGCATATTTTAAGAAGCTGAAGAAGGTCTTCTTTTGTAAAAACCTGTAAAAGTAGATCAGAGACCTTCATCTCCATCTTGTTGACACCTCAAGCTACATGTACATAAAAAAGTCATACACACCTTGTCTTTAGATAATCCGCTTTCAGGATAGAACACAGAAAGTGTGTACTCACACCCTGAGTTCTGGAGATGATCTGCCACTATGCTGTTACAGGCTGAAACTAAAATGGGTTCATGTTTCACATGTGCTGGCCTGGGAACTGGTTCTTGGCCTGCCAAAGCTGGGTACTTTAACTCCTGGATGAGCTGATTTCGCAGCTGTGCCTAAATAAGATCCGAATAGTCAAAGAGAAGGATGAAGACCAAACACTGAACATTGCTAAAGTGCTGTGAAAAAGTATTTGGCCCCTTTGATTAACTGTAATTTAATCTTTTTTTGTAAAGTCAAGCTCAATTTCACTATCCACACCCTGGCTGATTACTGGCAGACCTGTTGAATCAAGTAATCACTCAAACAGAAGCTGTCTCACAAAGTGAAGTAAGCTAAAAGATCCCAAAAAGCAACACATCATGCAACACGCTATCAGTGTGGAAAGAGTTACATCACCACTACTAAAGCCAGTCTCACTATCCAATTGTTAGAGCTATAAAAAGTGGTGACCTTTCTGAAGAATGCCCAGCCCACCAGAATTACTCTAAAAGCAAAATGACAACTCATTCAAGATGTCACTGAGTTCCAAGGAGAAAACCACTGAGCAAAAGGCTCAGCTCACATTTGCCAAAAAAACATATTGATGATCCTCAAGACTTTTGGAGAAAGCGGAATAATGAGACGAAAGTTTCACTTTTTGGAAGGTTTGAGTCCCATTACATCTGGCTTAAAACTAACACAGCATTTCATAAAAAGAACATCATACCAACAGACATGGTGGTGGAAGTGTAATGGTCTATGATCTAGAAAGTCCTGAAGGAAAATGTCTGGCCATCAGTTTATGCCCTGAAGTTCAAGCACACCTGGGTTATGCAGCAGGACGATGATGAGAAACCTGCCAGGAAGTCCACCTCTGGATGCCTCAAAATAATGCCAGATGAATGTTAAATTCTAATTGCTTTGACATAACCGTAAACAGTCCATAAATGCTTAAAAACCTTTCAATGTGGATGAATTTAACAATTGTGCAAAGAAGAGTGCACTATAAGTCCTCCATGGTGATGTGAAAGAAATCGAGAAAGGCAAATACTTTTTCACAGCAATGTATAATAATAACAGCACCGTTATTAACATTGCTTACCTTGAGTGTATCAAGAACTCCTTTACTTTTAAAAGTCTGATAGAGTCTTTTCCTCAGCTCGTCAGGGGATAACGCATCTTCCTTAGAGGAGGACATAGCTGGGATCTTTGCGAGACCTGACATAAAACAAACAGAAGCAGACAATTGGACGACGAGTGTGAGAATAAAAACCTTCGCTTTCAAAAATTTTCCCAAGTATTATTGGTTGTTATCAAAATTGTATTCCTCTATCTTCGCAACATGTGCACCATGTGTATCTTAAGAAGAAGAATACTCACCTGCCTGACGACCACAAACCTTCGCGTCTCTTTTCTTGTTCTTGAAACATTTAAATCCACCGTCAACGGAAAAGCTTGGTTCCGTGCATGCGCATAATTATGACGTCACGTCGAAAAACCAAAAACGTATTTATTATAATTTAATTATATGCATTCAGTGTTTCATATAGCATTGTTTCTAAAAGTGCATTAGAAAATAATTATCATTTAAAAGATTTAGTACAAAAAAGTTTCGCTACTTTATTATGTCATCATTTTGCGACTGCTGTTCTTGCGATCCAGGAAACGCAACTAACAGGTAAACAAACACCGGTTTTATTCCTTTAAAAACAGATATATGACATACCTTTCTATTGTTTCTATTCATACAATGCTTATCTTGGTCTTACAATAGTCATGTAGTTTCTTTAAGCATCCGTGGAGCTCCGCGGTTAGTGCTAGCTTGCTATCCAGAGGGTTTACAGTCATTTTAGGTTACGCTGTCACTATTTTCTACTTATAAGTTTGCTTATTTCGTTGTGGAGGGATTAATTTCAGATCAGTTTATCTTTGCTGAGAGGAGAAGACGATGTCTGGAAGCTTTTACTTTGTCATGGTTGGTCATCATGACAATCCTGTGTTTGAGATGGAGTTCCTGCCAGCTGGGAAGCCCGAATCAAAGGTAACCTCGCTTAATTTAATCACTCAATTACTGAGCTACAGCGCAGTATTTGTCTCTATTTGTGTATTTGACACACTTACATATTTCAAATAATCAAACAGGTTTCAATGTTAGACAAAGATAATCTGAGTAAATTCAAAATGCAGTTTTAAACGATTAATTTGTTTATTAAAGGGAAAAAAGAAAGTTAATCAAACCCACCTGGCCCTATGTGGAAAAAAATAATTGCCCCCCTCTTAATTAAATCATGAAACAACTGTTCTTACTTACATTTACTTACATCATACTTACAGGATGATCATCGTCACCTAAACCAGTTCATTGCACATGCAGCCCTGGATTTGGTGGATGAAAATATGTGGCTGTCCAACAATATGTACTTGAAAACTGTGGACAAATTCAACGAGTGGTTTGTTTCTGCATTTGTCACTGCAGGACATATCCTTTTGTTCTGTTTCATGTGATAATTATTTCCTGATGCTGTGTCAGTTGCCCGATGAAAACACATTTTTTCTTTGCTCAGCATTAATTAAGATATTACTGTTTTTAGACTGATAGCAAGCGAGCAAGCAATTTATTTATATAGCACCTTCAGACAACTCCCAGCTGAAAACAAAGGGCTGTACACTTATGAAAGGGGTACGTTTGTTAAATAATCTCATTTCAGTGGTGTAGTTTATACACAGTATTTGTAATCGAAACAGCAAGTTGAATAACCAAAATCAAGCACAAGTTTTGAATCTTCTATTAATCTACATCTTAAAAAACATGTTAATTCATTTAAATCATTGGGATTTAAAGCTATGATCTAACATGTAATATAAATATGGAAATCAGGGCCACCAGTGTGATTATTTTGGGACTTAATGAGTTTGTTATCATTGTTTCCGGGCAGATTCAGTGTATGGGCATGTCTTCCTTTTCTTTAACTATTTGCAACACATATAAGATTCATCATGCTGCACGACATGCGACAAGAAGATGGAATCAAAAACTTTTTTAACGACGTCTATGATTTATACATCAAGGTAAGTCATTATCCAGGTGATAAGAGTATCTTAGCATGATGTGACATTTGGTATATTTTGCTTTTAGCATTTAATCTTATCCTGCTCTGTCTTTCAGTTTGCAATGAATCCATTCTATGAAATCAACGCGCCCATCCGCTCAACTGCTTTTGAGAGGAAAGTCCAGTTCCTTGGGAAGAAGCATCTCCTGAGTTAATCACTTCACACAAAAATTTCAATAGTGTCTTTATGTTGTATATAGTTAATACAGTTGTTTCTGTTCTTTAAAAATCTTCAATGTGTTCAGAACAAAAGTGGATTTGTATAAACAGTGTTTTGCATTGTGCGTGTTTGTTTTGTTTTTTTAATAGAGTGGATGTGGCTGCTTTGTGTAACATTATGGCTTCAAATTTCATGTGCACTGCAAAAATATCCAGAAAGAAAATATCTGTAAGTTAGTGTTGCCTTACTGCAGAGCATAGTCCAATACGTTCACAGGAAATATTAAACTGATTTATCAGCTAGATTCCAGTCTACAAAACATGCATAACAGGCAATTTTCAGGGGGTTTATTCATCACTTGGCATGCCAGTAGTACAACTTTGAAAGAAAAAAAAAATGACACTTAAACATATGGTTCACAGTTTTAAATAACTATGGGGAGACTTTCAACTTGAAAATATATTTAAAAAATAAGTGCATTCATTAGCTAAATAATCCCATCAATGAAAAAAATGTCACTACTCCATTATTTATTCTGCTTATAGTTAGATTCATGTTTTTTTCCAATGATAAAAAGAGCTTACAAAATACAAAAGTTTCCAGAAACAGAAATATTCCAAATGCCATGCATGTTAAATCTGTTTTAATATTTCAGGGAATTAATTCATCCCTCATTGCTTTCAACACACAGCCATAATCTATCCACAATGCAGAATGTGCACAAACAAGACCTAAATGTGCATTAATAACAAGCTTCCATTTGTTAGTCATACAAAGAATTTCCTTAGCTACCTCATAATTTTCAGAAATAAGTTTATTGGTAGATATATGTTATTTCAATTCTGCAGTTATTTCATTACTATCATGTCACCATTCTGCATTACAATATTAGGGAGTGGAGTGTAGAGGCCCTACAGTAATTGCACTCTCCAGGTTGCACATATCTAAACAAATAAAAAAAAAAAATGGAATCATTTAACCTTTTGAAAAATACTCTAATTTATAAGTTGTCTTGGGTCAACACAAAATGTTTTTTTTTTTTTTTTCCCGTAAGCCTGACTTAATGGCCTTTGGCAGTGTTGAGTCAAATGCTTTTAATTGTATTTGTAATGACACTAGCATTAATTTAGTGTTTTTTCATTGTTTTTCTCCCCCAAACAAATCCAACACTTTGCATTATCAAACCATCAACAGTGTATTTGTTTAAATAAGATGTTACTACAGAACTGTACACCTACATCCTCATTTAATGGGCCTAATAGTGAATTCATGTTGGTGATAACTCCTGGGTGTTACGAACAGCAAGTGGCAGTGGAGCGAGGCTTTCTGTGAAGCTTGACTGTGTCTGTAGGGATGAGGTGGTCCGTTCTTTCATCCACTGCCAACACTCTACGCACTGCCTCCTCAAAGGCCACTGCTACATTGATGGCATCCTTGGCACTGGTCTCATAATAGGGGTAGTCACCATTCTCCTTGCACCACTGCTGCGCCTCCTCGGTAGACACCTGCCTCTCCGTCACATCCACTTTGTTGCCCAGTACTACGAACGGGAACTTCTCCGGCTCCTTGACATCCGCATAGTAGATGAACTCCTTCTTCCAGTTGCCCAAGTTCAGAAAACTCTGGTTATCATCAACACTGAAGGTGAGCAGACAGCAATCAGAGCCACGATAGAAAGGAGTCCTCAGGCTGCGGAAGCGCTCCTGGCCAGCTGTGTCCCAGATCTGGAGGGTAACCTGGTGGCCATCTACCTCCAGGTCCTTGTTGAGGAACTCAACCCCGATGGTGTGGAAAAGGTGTGCATCAAACTTGTTGGTCACGTAGCGATTCATGATGGAACTCTTTCCTACACCACCGTCACCGAGCAGAATTACTTTCAACAAGGATGTCTTTGTTGTCATGGCTATTTACTCCCAAATCCACCACTTTTGAAATAGTTTACCTAGTAGAAAGAGTGTGTGATGGATACTGTTAGTATTTGTACACCATTACACACAAAAAAAAAGTTGCAGCAAGAAGAAGTATGGCATTGAAAACATTGTTCTCACCCTAGGTTGATTTTGAGCTCATCCACTGGTCTGGATCATGTGCTGTTAAACCCCAGTCCCTGGTCACATGCTCATTTCTTTAATGTTGAAGAGTCAGGCCATTCAGGTAGCGTTCAGCTAGCTGTAATACAGAGATAAGAGCTCAGTTTTTCTGTTGGCCCGGGACAGCAGGTACACTGCAATAACGTATCTGCCACCAAACATGCGATAACGTTACATTAAGATGCAAACAAGGTATTAAAGTTTAGCTTGTAGTTACATGGTACACAATACGAAACATATTTTAACGTGCTGTAACATAACAGAGTCACCAAGTTGGTACTACCGGCTAGTTAGCTGAGCTGGCTATCGTGAAGAAGGAAAACAAGATAACAGCTGGAGTTAGGTTAATGTAGGGTACCAGATCAGCTAGCCTGGTTTTCATGCAGATAAGAGTGTAAGTCACGTACCTCACAGTAGATCCAGGCAGCTGTTGAATAAAAATAATAAGCCACCAGATAACTTAAATGATCTTAATACATCTGTTTGGCAGCTCCTTCCCTTGGCGTGTCTGGAGGTAACGTCAGGGCTCTCCGTTTCCTGGTAAACTCTGGCGCTAACGTAGCTAGCTGCTAACAAGCTGGTAACGTCGGGTCATGTGATCTGGTCAGGACGAAACAACCAACGAGCGCCGAGATACGCTCTCAGGCCACCACTACTTATACAACATGTACATTAATATTTTATCACAGCGTACACATGACTCTTAATGTTCAAAATATCACAGACTTTAAAGTCATTCGTGTTTTTGCTTTATTTGAGTGAGATTAGTAAGCCGTAACATCGCTTTATTTTACGGTAGTTAACCGCAACATCTTTGCAGTAGTTAAGCTACACCAACAGAGGGCCACATGTAGCTGTCATCTGTTACCACACAATACTTTTACCCAGTTTGTAGAAACCTGCAGTAGATAATAGGAGTTTGGGGCTCTCGTTTCTTTATATTTTACTAGGAAAATGTGCATTTTTTTAAGGACACTACACCCCCTGCTGGGTTATGCCGGATTTTGTGATAATAGTTCTTTGGGAATAACTTTGTTAAAATTATATTGTATGCTCGTTAATCCGTGTTAGCGTTGTCCGTTTCATAGATGTAACTAAATATATGGAAGTAGATGATGTGTTTTTGTAACTGATTAAAAATCGTTAGGTACAAGGTCTGGACTTAAAATTTGTTTTAAAAAAGTAGCCAGTGCCTGAAGCAAACTGTAAAGAAATTAGTTGCAGCTCAAAACCTTTTGAACATTTGGTACTGTAAAATAATCATCATTATGGAATCTGTACATGGAAAAAAATAAATGATAGGAAGTTAGAAAAAAACATTTAATGTAATAACATGGTATAATAATACAGCAAATCTTACACAATGTATGCACTGATAGTTTTTTTTTTAATTGGTTAAACTAAACAGCCTTCAAAAACGTTGATCAATTAAAATTGCAGATATAATTAACCTAACAATTCACATTACATATTGTGGACTATTAACTTTTTAACTATTAACTTCAGAAATGCATTGTTGCAAACATAACAAAGGTTTAAGCACAATACTGTTGGACCAGACTAACAAAGTTAGCATTTTCACCTTTTCCTGAGATCTGAGTTATCTGTACCATAAAAGATGATTTTGAAAATCACAAAAAAACTATAGCAGGGTGCTTCTATGTAGCAGCTTTGTGATGACATGAATTTCTCTGCACTTAGTTTATGTATTGTTCCCTGTAGACTGTGTGTCTGCATTGAGGGAATAATGGGAAAAAATCCACAAGAAACACACCATAACATGGATAAATGTCAAGGCATATGTTCTTAAAAGACTGGATCCTCTTGACACGTTCCTGATGTCAGCACAACAGTGTCCAGCCCAATCTCACCTCCAAGACCTTTCCCGCGCTGAACTTCAAAGATAACCTGAAACACAAACCGACATACAGTTGTACATTAAGGTTGTTGATCTGAGTAGTAAATTAGTAATGTGATGGCTGCCTTTTCAGAACATCAAAGGAATTTACTTTTTAGGCCAAGATCCCATCATAGCTAGCCACAAGTATTGAGAAGATTTTAAATATAATGTTCTAAAATGTGTGTAAATGACTTACAGACTCTGGGGCCTTCTCCTTCCAGGCCACTGTGAGAAACTCAGTCTGCCAGCCCTGCTCCCTGCTCTGACTCTGCTCCCATACTGGGTAAACATTGTTGTCCAGCAGTACCCTGAGCGTGCCCACATCAGGGCCAACCACACGGTAGTCAAAGGTAAGGCAGAGGCTGCCATACTGGGACCGGTCACCAAGAAGCAGTTTCAACCTGGCCACATCCTCTTGCTCCCCTACAAGCCCACTCAAAGCCATGTAGTACTCACCACCTGAGAAGGTTTGTAGCTGATGTAAGTTACAGTATCTGAATGCACAAAAATGAATACCTCTCCTTTGAAAAAGTAACATTCATCAGGTCGTTACCATTGTCATGGTATGCTACACTCCAGTCCATGTCATCAGACTTGTCTTGGATCCATTCGCACGCCCCTTTGTCAAAGTTGCAATCCATGAAATACTCTAGAAAGTAAATGTTAGGAACACATTTTTAAATTAGCTGAGTAGCGATTATACAACAATAACACGTCTTAATATATGCTAAATCATCCAGGTAAGGAAATCCCAGAAAATTAATTCTGTTCATCTGGACGACTTTGGTCTTGAGACTAAAGAAGTCACTTGAATTATTGACAAAACTTTTCTCTCAATGAAACCGCAATGTGATGAACAAAATCAACTTCCTGGGAACAATGAAACATGAACACACTTTTTGATTACCTTCTTGAGCTGGCGCTATGTGGATCTCTTTGACTTCTGTGGCTGGTCCGAACACTGACTCAAAGTCCTCTGATACTGTGTTTAGAGATTAAAAAAAATGGAGTGAATTCATCTTAATATACACATTTAAGCTTTCAGCTATTAGGCATGCCTAAGTTAAACTGGTATTCATTGGTTCAAAAGTTTTGCTCTAAATCCTAACTTCATTTAGATTATACCTTTCAACTTAAGCTGATGGCGTGATTTCCTGATGGATTTTGTATTAGACTCGAACTAGACTAAGATAATGAGTGCAAAAACTGACACAACTCTGATACTACTCTTAAAAAATATGCAATGGAAAGAACTTAATGCATAAATAATACAGCAAAGAGATTTTTCAAGATGACAGGTAGAAAGGGGTTTTTAACCAACAGGTAAAGACCTGCCCTGCTGTCACTCATACCATAAAATGGAGCTACAACTTTAGCATATATCCCCTCCAAGCAATTTAAAGCTCTAGCAGAAAATCACCCCCATGAAATGCAGCCACAGACAGTCTGATGAGTGACAGCTGGGATTATTGAAGCTGCTCAGTCAGAGTAGGCCTGTTTTAGAGAAGTCTAGAGTGCTGATGACAGACCTTCCTACAAGGAGGCAAGTCTGTTTGCACAACAGCTGTTTTGGGGAAAACATAATAAAAGGTTTAGGGGCTTTGTAAATTCCCATCCCGCCTCCCCCTCCACCTGAGGGATGGGGAAGCAGGCCCAGGATGAGTTGTATCCTTGGGCTCTCACATGCCAGCAGACTAACATTCCTCCCTGGAGGTGATGGATGTCTTGGGGCCTGTCTCCTCTTGCTTTCTGAGTTCTTACACAGCCTCTGATCTTTCCATAAAATTCAAGATTATCAGTGAAAGACAACCTCATTCATGGGGTTTTGAAGGTTTTAAATGTAAGCTGGTAAGTCTTGATTTTACAGTGTTGGGTTATTATTGGGAATTTACATTCAGTCTGTTGTGACCAATAGTTTAATATAGCAGAGTAAGTAAGAATTCAAGGATTTTGAGAAAAAAAAATTAGGTTGACAATTTATTTTATTTATACCAGTATAATCATCATAGTGCCTTTGATCCTTTATAGATAAGTCAGTGAGACTGGGATAACTCTGGGTTTGAGGTTAACAGCAGATCTGAAGCAACACCCCCTTTTCTTCTTTGGTCAAGGCCTTAATCCAGAGCTGCCCTTTCAGACAGTTATTTCAGCTGAAAATCCATAATTACATTCAGATGTCATGTAAACATGAGGGGACAGTCTCTTTTGAATCACACTGAGTTTGTTTAGTCTGTTTATGGTTACTACTTACTTTGCAGACCACCCAGAATAGTGGAACTCATTTATCATAGCGCTGCCAAACAATATGCCCCTTACTGAAAACGTCTCCTCTTGGATTAAGCTGGTTGTCTTCCTCTTCCACCTCTTCCTCTTCTTCCTCAGGAAATCCCTCCTCTTGCGTTCCTTTAGTCGTAGTGCCAACATAGACCTCCCCGTCATAGTCAAAAGGTTGCAGGGGGATGTTGGGAGATGGCGTTGCGACTGGTTCGAGGATTACATTTTTGATGTCCTCGTCAGTCAGTTTACCTCCCAGAATCCTAGGCTTCGCCTGGGAGTCTGGGATGGCTGCAGGCAGGAAGAGGAATCAGAATAGACATATGGCTCTGCAATCATGACTGACAAACATAGTATTTGACTTCAGATGTCTTTCTTGTTTGTCATGTATTTTGCAGATGCAGTTCTTATTTATTATTTCCCTGCGGTGACTTACCAGGCCATTGATAATATGCTTTCCACAGGAGCAGAGCTATAACAAACTAACATGCTAAGACAACAGATTCTCCTACTGCATGCAGATAAGACATAAGCGGGCACAGCTCAAATTAGTTTCTTAAATGCTCAAGCAATTTACTGTATAAGGCCATGCTGAGGATTTAAGGTCTCAGACTGCGGGTGCTATGGACATACATTTTCAGCCATGAGCAGGGGAGAGAGGTGGGGGAGGTGCTCTTACATATAGACAAGAGAAAGGGATGAGTGAATGGGGTTGCAGGGCAGGGAGTGAATAGCAGAAACAGAGTCTTGGATTCTATACAATCTCACCATTCAGGGAATCATCTGCACTGCCTTTTTCTCCATCCCACGAACTCTGATAAAACGGCTTAACTACAGAAAATAAAGGCATTTTCATTTACGCAGAAAGCCCTGACCTCTTTTTTTTTGTTATTTGGCTGCATGAGATTTCACCTGTTATTATCTGGGTCTGGTTCAAAGAGTACAGCACTATCTTTATTTCTCCTTTTTCAGTTGGCTAGCTACAATGCAGTGTCGTATTTACACAGGTGTGTTTTCAATCTGTGCCTCTCTGGTGTTAACATCTGTGAAGAGGAGGGGAGTCTGAAGGCAGGAAACTAGCCTTGGCAGGACTGCTGTTTGCAGATGTTTAAAGAGTCCAAATGAAATATGTGGCTGTAAAACTTCTCCTGACCTACCTGACTGATTACCCTCGTCTGTTTTTTAAATCAAGCGTGAATGCCTTAATTTGACAAATCTCAGTAGAAATGAAAGGCTTTGCTAAAATTATTTTATTCGTAATTCTCTGCAGCGAATCTCGGATCTCACCAGAGCATTCAAAGCCATTGCCTCTGAAGCCAGACTTGCACCTGCACCTGTAGGATCCTTGAGTGTTCACACAGACAGCGTGGTGGCTGCACTTGTGGGTGCCGGCTGCACACTCATCAAGGTCTGGAATTGGAAGAAGCCTATTTGTACCTTTA